TCACCTAAATCACAATTAAAAAAAAAAAAAAAAAGTCAAATAAACACTTTAGCAGTAAAAAAAAAAAAAAAAATGTTATCCCATTTCGCTACCAAAACTAGAACTGACAGGAAGAATTCAGAATAAAAAAATCTACTTTCTAACAAAATTAGGGAGAAAGAGCTATGTGAGTGGGATATAATTATAATAATTCATGTTTATTAATGTTTTAAAGCACTTAGTGAACTCAATCTGTTTGTACACAACACTAACCAAGAATATATTAGAAAAGATTTTAACTCCAATGCAGAAGAGATTTGGCTAAATGATGCCATATAATAGACCATATGTTTATGGGCATACCTTTATTCTATCGGTGAACTGGTATTTTTTTATAACCATTTCCTGCAGCTGGCAAAAGTCTTCATTCATTTCTACACCATATAGCTGCAAAGCTGAACTATAAAGATAACCCTAAAATATGAAGATACATTATGATGCAAATTAATTAACTTTAAATTGCTGAGTTCATTTCTACTTGAAATTTAAAAAGTTCAACTTTTAAAAATGTAACTCCATAAAGAAAAATAAAATGAAAGTTAAAGATCATCTTATAGAGTCTATAAAACTTATTCCTTCAAGAACTGAACAAACTTTTACTGATTAAGGCCTTGATTACAGTTTATTAATTTCTTTTGTTTAAGAGTAGTTACATTTTTAAAGACTGGTTTCTTATTTTTCCTGGTAAAACTATTCATTCAACAAAGTTAAAAATGAGAAAACTCATCACGTATAGATTCTTTTTTTGTAATTTCTTGGGAAGTCACGTCAGCAGGAAAGAAGAAAGAAATTTATTAATTTGAACGGAATGTTGTTGTTGTTATATGACATGGAGTCTGACCTGACTCATAGCAACCCCTCCTTGGGTTGCCAAGGTGGTATCACTATGGAAGTAGATTGCCCAACCTTCCTTCCAAGGAGTGGCTGGTGGATTTGAACTGCCAGCCTTCTGATTAGCAGTCAAGTGCCTTAGGCACTACGCTACCAGAGCTCCCTGTGGGAAATAGAATGAAAATCATACAGAGTCTGGGTGGGAAGGGAAGTCAGCCTGGTGTCCTGAAATCTGTCAAAGATAATCAACTAATCAGTTAACAAGGATAATCAAGAATTGATTATATATATCATTTATCTACTTCTGGTTACAATAACAAAATAATAATTTGGAAGGAAATAAAAGGTCAAATCATTTCCTAAAGAATTTAGATCAACTTATACCCATGTGAAAACCAAATATGTAGTTGCTAGTCATGGATTTTTAAAATACATTTAACAGTGCATGTGTAGGTATTAAAAAATTTTTGACTCAATTAGTTACTTAATATATAGAAGATGACAATATATTCAAATTTATCAGTGCTGCCATCGTACCAGAATAGCCACAGTGATTTCAGCTTTACTCTTTTCTAACCAAAATCAGAAAAGGGACAACAGTCGACAAAACATAGTAAACTACCATCATCTCTAATGTTCTTTAAACAAAAATCATCTGAGAGACTGTGTATTTTCTATTATGGCTATATTTCCTAGTTATAGAAATAAAAGTTTTAACTATGAAAAATACATTAAGCATTAAGGAGTTAACTGCTTCTATTTAGAGCAGGCAATGATGCTGGGAACTGACAGTGCCTGCTTCTGGCATGAGCCTCTACTGCTGCTGGCCACATGTTTTAACATGTCTGCTAATGATAACCAGAAACCACATTTTAGTTTTTTGATAAAACCATTTAAGAACGTTAGAAATGTTGATGATTTGAATGAAACCAACCAACCAATCCACACTGAAGTGATGTTTCAGAAACATCTCCATTCAAACTTTTGATAACAGAAAATTGGAGCAAGATGTGTCCTTGGATACCATTTACTTTGCTATTTTACAAGTGAGGAAATCAAGGCCCAGAGACTTTAAGTGACTTGCTTATGACTATACAGTGATTTCTGGGAGCTCTGGTAGCATAGTGGCTAAAGCACTTCACTGCTAACCAGAAGGCTGGCGGTTCAAACCCACCAGCCACTCCTCGGAAGGAAGGTTGGGCAATCCTACTTCCGTAGTGATACTGCCTCGGAAACCCAAGGAGAGGTTGCTATGAGTCGGGGTGGACTCGAGGGCACATAACAACAACAACAACAACAACAACAATACAGTGATTTCTAGGTCAACTATATTTGTAGTTTTATAGGTGCTTTCTCTTATCAAAGCTTAGCATAAGCCACTTACTGTAGTAGTACAAAGGAGAGAGGTTAGAAGGGCTGTAGAAATAAAACAGCAAAGTGTTAGGGAGGGTCACATGCTTCTGCTTTGTTGATATTTCTTCATTGGTGTTACAGAGATAAACTAGTAAAAGAAATTAGCCAGCTAGTCTTTGAAAGACCAAATTCAATTACCATTAAAAAGAACTTAAGTGCCTGACTAGGCTAAACTATTTTAACCTTTTTATTCTGTTACTCTAATCAATAAAGCCAACCTATCACCTTGGATGGTGGCAGGCAAAGCTGTTGCTAGCAGAAGAAAGTATTTTACAAATATCGAATATGTTCTCAAGCTGGACTTTACCCCATAAAGGACTGTGCCGAGCCTGGAGCCAACATCAACCAAGATCTTTCCTGACAGATCAGGGAGTACGTGATGGTAAATGAACTTCAATTCCATGAGGGAGAAGGAATGAGAAATAAATCCTGGAGAATCAAAACAGAGTGAACATCAAGGTTTGCTTGGGTACTAAAAATTCCGTTCTGTATTTTTCATTCTTTCACCTATATTTACAAAGTAAATTCCATGTTTTTTTTCTTAATCAATGACAGCCATCCATAAGTTATTTAGAAAAAAATTAATATAATAATTTCCTATCTATCCACTCTGAGCTGTATTAGAGAAGAACAAATAATAAATCTCTGACATTTAAAAGTCCTCCAGATGGTACAGTGCTTAAAGTGTTCAGCTGCTAACCAAAAGGTCAGTGCTTTGAAGCCACCAGCTGCAGGAGAAAGATGAGGAACTCTGCTTTCATAAAGATGTATACTCTTGGAATCCCTATGAGACACTTCTACTCTGTCCTATAGGGCTGGCTGGTATGAGTTGGAATTGACTTGATGGCAGTGGGTTTGGCTTTGAGTTACGGATCAGCTATCCAGATGTCTGTTTCTACCTCTAACCTTCTCTATTCCTTTTTGCTGCCGCTTGAGATGTTTTTGGTTTTTTCCTTCTTCTCACTACGACCTGCTGCTCTGTGGAACTGCTTCCTAACTGCCATACCAGCTGACTTTCTCAACTTACTCCAGAGCCAACCTCTGCATCACCATGTACTGCTGCATAGACTGTAGGTTATTAAATGGAGTTGTGCACTGGCAGCCCTGACCAACCGAGAATGTGCTCTGGAGTACAGGAGAGGGCTGGTATGAAAGAAGATTAAGATACTCTCATAAATTGTTCTTACTTCCCTTAGTTTAATTGCCACTTCTAGCCTCCTAGTTCATCTTCTTACCCCAGTTTCTGTGATTGTGGTGCAGTGAATTACTTGGTATGGCTTTTCTGGCCATGGTCTTTGTGACTCCTACCAGATTACTGGGTGGGACCATGCATATAAGGTATGTGGAACACTAATATGGGGATTGGTTAGTTTTGTCATTCTGCTAGGCTTAAAACGAGCCCTCCAAGAGGAAGAAATGGGGAATCTCACTGCATCAGCAGAGAAGTGGTGAATGCCACGAGAGGGATGGTTGGTGTCAGAGCTGGTAAAAAGGGTAGAGGAGCATATCTGGCCTCATAGGAATAAGCCTTGGGCTGCTGATGGTGATTCTGTTTCCCTCTTGTGAAGTTAGAGGACGTCAGATAATACCACCTCTTTGTCCTTTTTGCAGGGATCAAATATGTGGGACAGCCTGAGTCCCTGATACCTCTGATAGGGAGGTAACCTGAACTCTTTCTATAGTATGTTTTACACAATATAATGGTCAGGAAGGGGAGAAATCTTAGTCATAACTGATGATGGTGGCAAAGAAACAAAAGTAGATAGGCCAGTCCCTTGAAAAAGAATAAAGGGTGTGACTAGGCCTCAGAAATAACTCTTGAGAGGCAGGCTTTGACCATCATAGTCCTCATCTCTCTAGAATCCTCATCCTCACTTAGCCCATTGCCACACAGTGCTTCTGTCCTGGGCCACAGAGTCACCATTACTATCTTGTAGTTAGATAAGCCCCTGGTCACATGAGGAGGAAAAGTCCCACATGGTGAGAGCTGTTTAGATTCATTATAGTTACCTGGCCTGGTCTGGGTAACCAGTCACTGTTTACAATCTTATTTTTATGGGAAGATACATCTTAATCTTTGAAGTTTTATTTGTTACATGTGAGTTTTCTATAAAGTCAGATATGTCTGGTATGGTGTCATTGTTATAATTAACTTTTTAGTTTTCCCTCTGTTATTCTTGTCCAAGTCCTTTTCTGTTTTGTGAATTTTAACTACTTCAAGTGTAAATCATATGTATTTTCTAATAATAAAATCTCAAACCAGTAAATCAGGAAACTTTAATTTCAAATGATAATGTTGGCACTATTAGTTCATGAAATGATAGCAATATATCCCCAAATTTGGTAGTATTTAACCTTTGAGAATGACATTTAAGACCAGTAATGTAAAGGCAAGATTGCTTACCTGAATGGGTAGCCCATCTCAAGCAGTAACTCTAAATTTAAGTGAGCCAAAAAACCAAACCAAACCCATTGCCATTGATTCCAACTCATAGCAACCCTACATGGCAGAGTAGAACTGCCCCATGGGGTTACCGAGACTGTAAATCTTTATGGAAGCAGGCTGACTCATCTTTCTCCCACAGAGCAGCTGTTGGGTTTGAACCACTGACCTTTTGGTTAGCAACTGAATGCTTTAACCACTGTTCCACCAGAGCTCCTTTCTAAGTAAGCAGAGAGATGGAAATAGCAAGTCTAAAGCAACAGCCTAGACAGTCATATCTGGTTTGAACAAAGAATGTGTTGACAGAAGAGTTTACATATTAGCAGCATGGACTCAAGTCTAGTTTCCTGTTGTAGACACAGGTGCTGTATCTGAGGGGCAGGAGACATGGGAAATTTTCTGTCACCAGTTTTTCTCTCTTATGGTCTTATGGACCATGACCTACATAAACTCTTTGTTAAGATCATCTATCTCTGTCCTCTAATTTCATGCTCACCCAACCATATCTGATAGCATCTGACTTATCAAGTAGATGTTTTTATATGGAGAATGTTTCAGCCTTCTTGGCAGTTATATTTCACATTGTAAGTAAATCCACATTATGGTTTATACATCAGTCTCTTAGTTAGGAAAGTGTAGTTAGTTACCCTGTATTTACTCATCTCTGCTAAGTTTCTGGACCTGAAAAGTCATGTCTGATTAAACAGTTTCTGGATGTGAAAAGCAGGCACCACTCCCTCCAATGTCCCAAGAGACATTACCTTCCCTAGACAATATTTCTATTTAATCTCACTATATTTAGCAAGGGGTGGTCAGTGGTTCAAACCCACCAGCTGCTCTGTGGAAGAAAGATGAGGCAGTCTGCTTCTGTAAAGATTTACAGCCTTGGAAACCCTTTGGGGCAGTTCTACTCTGTCCTACAGGGTCGCTATGAGTTAGAATCGACTTGATGGCAGTGATTTTTTTTATGTTGTTTGCTGGATTTTTGCTTTAAAAAAAAAAAAAATTGAATGAGAAGGTTGGGCAATCTACTTCCGTAGCGATACTGCCTTGGAAACCCAAGGAGGTGTCACTATGAGTCAGGTTCGACTCAACGGCATATAACAACAACAACAAACATGTAAGTAAGAATACATTTACAATTGTCAGGTTTGCATACTTGAGTACCTACCTAAAGGTGCTGTCTGGTGTGAGCCACATGTCATGCAGTAGTTTCTGCTCATTTTTCCTTCTTCACATAATGAATCAATAAAGTCTTCATCATAAAGGAATGCATCAATGTGAACTGTGGGTTCTGGCTGCTGCTGTATCTGGTGGAGAGGAGAAAAACATCAAAAGAAACAAAGTACAAAGAAGTGTCTTTTATTGCTAAATAAGGCAAAGAATCAGTGGTTCATATGCTAAAATTCTGGAAGTAACTGAAAGCACAGAAAAGTTTTGCTTATTCAAGTCAGTAATTCTGCTTCTCTTTAGTTTTCTTTCTGAGAAACTACCAAATTTTTATTTGACCTCAAATGATGCAAAACATGGCTAACTGAAATATGTTAGTTGAAACATATTTAATAATATTTTATTGTGTTTTTGGTAAAATCTTACACAGCATTAGGTTCCCATGTAACAATTCCTAATAATGTCACAAATTGTTCTGTTACCTGGTTACATTTCTCACCACGTGTCAACATTTTCATTAATTCCATTCCAGATGTTTCATTTCCAGTAATCTGGCTTCCCTGTCCTCTATATGGTGTCAAACAGATGACTTTTTTTAAGGTGTATAGTACTCTTTGGTAATATTTTTTATTTTATGAACCAATCTGTTATTTAGCTAACCCTAAGTAGTATATTTCAAAGACAATGAAATTGATGCCCAGAGAGATTTCTCTAGAGAAATTATAAAAGTTAGTAAAAGGAGAAGAGTTGAAACTAATAGCAGATCTCAGCCTGACTTATCCATCAAAATACTCAGTAATCTTTGTCCAGAATGCAAAGTTTTCAAATAATAAAAATGTTATTAAAACTTCAGGGGAGCTCTGGTGGCATAGTGCTTAAGGCATTTGACTGCTAATTAGAAGGCTGGTGGTTCAACCCCACCAGCCACCCCTCGAAAGGAAGATAGGGCAATCTACTTCCATAGTAATACCGCCTCGGAAACCCAAGGAGTCGTCACTATGAATCAAATTGACTGGACAGCAGTGAATTTGGTTATTAAAACTTCAACTTACAAATAGTAGCTCTTTATCAAACTGATAGTTCATGATACAATAGCAATTAGTGATCTGTTTGGATATCCCAAAATTGTATCTACATCTACCAAAATGTAAGTATCTGAAAATCAGGTATAAACATACACAAGGACCAGAAGGCAAATGAAGAAAATAAAACAATTTGTTAGTATAGGAGACTGTCAGCCAACTATTAACATGCCATGAATACTTTTTTCCTCATTTTATATACTGTGTATTTTAATACTGATATAATTTTATTATTAATAACATCCAAACTGTATTACAAATGCTTCTCTCAATGTTTTATTGTCCATTATTTTCCTCCTTTAAGAATTCAGTCTGAATGACTGGATGCTTACTAAGATTTGTAAGGTGGCTTGGTAGCACAGTGGTAAAGAACTCAGCTGCTAACCAAAAGGTAGGTAGTTTGAAACCATAAGCTGTTCCACAGGAGAAAGATACGGCACTATGCTTCCATGAAGACTACAGTCTTGGAAATCCTATGGGCAGTTCTATTCTGCCCTGTAGGGTCTCTATCAGTTGGAATTGACTGGATGGCAATGGATTTTTTTTTTTTAATATGGAATGCTTCACAAATTTGCCTATTATGCGTGCGCAGCAGCCATGTCTGTCATTTCAATTTTAGTAAACATGCTGCCAAAGGGAGCACGGCAATGGCTTTTTACTGAGAAATGTTGTGTTCACAAAGTACAAAGCACTATTAAGAATGTACAGGATTTAGTTCTTGTGGTCAGGAGTTTATAGGTTGAAAGACCCCATGGAGGATTGCTGTTTTCAGATCAAAAGTGAAGAGATGATCTGTTTCAGGAAACAATATTCATAGCATATGTCTCCCATAAGAGCTGGACTTTGAAGAACATGAATGAGGAGGTTGTATGAAGATAAAATATGAGAACTAAATCTAGGAGTAAAGAAATAGAAGAATGAATAAAAAAAGTGCAATGCAAAAGTACGAGCAGGAAACAAAAGGTGAACTTTACCCTTGATAAGAATGGGAGGAAATGGAATATGAAACAAAAAACCAGGATAATGATATAGGCAGAACCAGATTGCTATTGGGCCCCAATTGTTTTTTCTTCGAGTGCCTGGCAAACAGGAGGCACATGAAAGGTACTGAGGATCTAGAGGGTTATGGACTGAAAAGAACTGGTGACATGGTTGAAGCACGAAACAAAAACAAAAATTTTTTAAATAGAATTTAGGACTAGATAGACCAGAGCAGTTGTGGGGTTAGGGAAGAAGTGAAATCTTTAAAGAAATAAAGTAGAGAAAAAAGATCTAGAAATTAACAGATCTGAGATGGAAAAGTAAAGAAAGCAAGGCAATAAGGGAAAATTTTATTCATAAAGGTAAGAAATGAGGGCCAGAGTCAATGGCAATAATAAAGGTTTCAGTGAAAAAATGAAGAATTACCTTTTCACTATGTTTGTGTTGGGAGCTCTGATGGCATAGTGCCTAAGGCATTTAACTGCTAACCAGAAGGCTAGTGGTTCAAACCCACCAGCCACTCCTCAGAAAGAAGGTTGGGCAATCTACTTCCATAGTGACACAGCCTCAGAAAACCAAGGAGGGGTAGCTGAGTCCGATCCCACTCAACAGCAGTGTTTTTTTTCTTCTTCTTCTTCTTTTTTTGTAATGTTTGTGTTAGGAGTTCTGGTGGCACAGTGCCTAAGGCATTTATTTGACTGCTAACCAGAAGGCTCGGCAATCTACATCTGTAGTGATACTGTCTTGGAAACTCAGGGAGGGGTCGCCATGAGTTGGATCCAACTAGATGGCAGTGACTTTGGTTTGGTTTGGTTTATGTTTGTGTTAAAGTTACATAAAATGAAAATGAAAGGAAGAACTGAGAGTCAACTTAAGGTTCTGATAGCTATTATAAAATAAGGTAATGCCTAAACCATCATGTTATAAATTCCATGAGAGCTAGAATAATGTCCTTTTTTCAATAGCTCTCTCATAGCGCCCAATGTAGTCACACAACAGCTGCTCAGTAAATGTTTGAACTGAAATGGGTAAATCTTAGAAAGAGTGAGAGGGAAAAGATCCAAGACTGAGCTCAGCTTCCAAGTAAAAAATCATCTGATATGATGGTATAAAAAGGATCATATAAATCAAGAAAAAGAAAGGTAGGAAAACAACTAGCAGACATCATACAGTGAAGGTACGTAGAATGATGATCAACATGGTAAAACAGGACGAATGCGGTTATTATATAATGAAGTTGGTAAATATCTTAAATTCGGTCATCCTCTCTTACTATAGGTGGAGTGACAAGGAATAAAGCTATAACAATAGCAGTAGTGGCAGTAGTTCTAATAGTTAATAAAACCAAACCCGTTGCCATCAAGTCAACTCTGACTTGGTGACCCTATAGGACAAGATGTAATTGCCCCACAAGGTTTCCAAGTCTATAATCTTTATTTAAGCAGACTGCCAGATCTTTCTCCTGTGGAGTGGCTGATGGATTCAGACTGGTAATGTTTTGGTTAGCAGCTTAGCAATTAACCATTGCACCACCAGGGCTTTTGGAATAGTGGTAGTAGGAGTAGTACTAAAACAATTAACATTTATAAAATGCTTACTTTGTGCCAAAACCAAACTAAACTCACTGCCATCAAATCAATTCCAAATCACAATGACCTTCATTGGGTTTCCAAGTCTATAAATCTTTATGGAAGCAGATTACCTCGTCTTTTTCCCGTGGAGCGGCTGGTGGGTTTGAACCACCAACCTTTTGGTTAGCAGCCAAATGCCTTAACCACTATACTACCAGTAAGTGCCAGGCACTTATTTATAATGAGACTTTTACATATATTAATTAATTTAAGCCTTATAAGAATTTCACTAAACAAGAACTATAACTATCCCCTTCCATAGTCATGGCACTGAAGTCCAGCACTACACTGCCAGAAAATAATTCAATCCAGGCAGTCTGATTCAGAATTGTTTTTTAACAGAATTACTGGGGTACATTGTACACACCACAAATTCACCCACTGACATATATAATTCAATGATTTACAGTAAATTTTAAAAGTTGCATAACCATCACCATAATCCAGTTTGAAAACATTTCCATTACCTCAAAAAGTTCCTTCATGTCCATTTGCAGACAATCCTCTCCAATTTGATTATTAACCACTATATGCCTATGGCTTAATTTTAAAATCATATAAAATATAAATGAAAGGGAATAAAGAGAAGCTACATGAGTGTTACATGATCCAAGAATTGGAAAGACAAAGAATGAAAAAGTGGAGGCGAAAGGCAAAAAATAATGAAAGTTCTTAGAAGGCACTTCCATTTGTTAAAGGAGATGGTAAAACTGTCCTTTCATGTAAAAAGGAATGCTGGTAAGAGGCAAAGAAATGACAAAAATGGAAATGGTAAACTAATGTTTTGTGGAAAAGGTCTAGAAAAAAAGAATTTCCTTTCTGTAAGAAACCTTTTCTTCATGTATAAAAAGTGCTATGTAAGAAGCCCTGGCTTTCCTTCAAATATATTACATGGTTACTAGCCAGAGAACCAAAAAACCAAACCCACTGTTACTGAGTAAATTCCAACTCACAGCAACCCCCATTGGGTTTCCAAGGCACTAAATCTTTACAGTAGTTGACTGCCCCAACTTCCTTCTGCAGAGTGGCTGGGGGTTTGAACTGCCCACTCTCTGTTTAGCAGTCAAAGCCTTAGGCACTGGGCCACCAGAGCTCCTTCTAAAGAAAGAAGACAGTAGATAAATGAAACACACAAACATACACACAAAAGGTTTTTGATAGGTTGACTGATGATCTTTTCAAATAAAATTTAGGTAGTTCTTTTTCAGATGTGGCTGCCTGTTCTGCCTCATTAGACCTTCTGGCTTTTGTTGGGTTTCGTGAGTCTATATGGCTCTCTTTACTATGAACTAAAACCTAAATGATTAAAGCAATCTTATTTTCCACAACTACCCAACAGGGACCTGAAAACAAGTCTCTTCGTAACCCTGATACCACATTCAGTACAGCCTCTGGCCTATACTTACATTGTTCTTTTACTCAATATAACTAATGATTTTTCAAAGCCTAGCTGAAATCCATCTCTTCCATGACGCTTTTCCTGATTACTTCCACTGTTACTGTTATCATTCTTCTCTGAATTCCATCTACCTTTATAATCGATTAATTGATGTTAATTACATTTAGGTTATTTGTTGTCAACTGCTGTGTATTTTTTGTGTGTGTAGTTTTTTTTTTTTAAACTTTTTATTGTGATTTGGGTGAAATTTTACAGAGCAGGTTCATTTTATAATCAAGAGTTCATACACACATAATGTTTTGTGATACTGCTTACATTCCCCACAGTGTAACATCTCACCTCCCACTTCCTCCCCGTTGTTACCCTTTCCCTGTGTCCTTCTTGCCTATGCATTCCTGCCTCCCTGCATTTCTCCCTGTGCAAATGCTGCCCTTCTGATCTCCCATGGTTGATTGTTCTAAGGAGTACATCTCTCTGGTGCAAGTGTTTAGCTCGTAGGCATATTTTTTGGCTGAGAGTTAAGTCATGGCTGTTGTTGTTGTTGTTATGTGCCTTCGAGTCGGAACCAACTCATAGTGACCCCTCCTTGGGTTTCCGAGGCGGTATCACTATGGAAGTAGATTGCCCCATCTTCCTTCCGAGGAGTGGCTGGTGGGTTTGAACAGCCAGCCTTCTGGTTAGCAGTCAAGTGCCTTAGGCACTATGCTACCAGAGCTCCTTAAGTCATGGCAGTGAGATAAATTCCAGGGCCAAAGTGTGACTTAGGACCATAGTCTTGGGGGTGCTGTGTATTTTTTGCTACTGTTTTACAAACAATGAATTTGATCTTTATAATCAGAACGCACTCCCAGGCAGCAGAAATCATATTTTATACATCTTTTGTGTTTCCCATAGCACCAATTAAAGGCTAAACCCTTAACCAGGACTCAAATACCTAATTGACAAACATGTAAGAGAAAGGAGCGTGTGAACTTTTAAGTATAAAACTGTAAGATAAACACCATCACCTTAATTTCAATAGAATCCTTAAGTAGCACTTACAGCAAATTAATTTATTTACCTTTTGAAGGGCTAGATGTTCTGAGGAAAGCATGGTTTCTAGAGGTAAGCAATTCCGAAGGTCTTCTGCTATGCTTTTCAACATAATATCATTATTATCTTGAGTGAATTCATCAAAATCTCCTGGGGGAAAAAAACAAACAAATAGGCTTACTAATGATGGATTCAAGTCCTTATTAAAGTTACATTTAAAATATTGATGCCTAAGGCATTTGACTGCTAACCAGAAGGCTGGCAGTTCAAATCCACCAGCCACTCCTTGGAAGGAAGACTGGGCAATCTACTTCCGTAGAGATACTGCCTTGGAAACCCAAGGAGGGTCGCTATGAGTTGGATCCGATGTGACAGCAGTGAGTATGGTTTTTGGTTTTTAAAATATTGAGTTGATATGGAAAAGAAAGAAATATATAAACTATTGAGTTTTTCCTTTTTCTGAATTGCTTAAAAAATATAAAACTCAACTACTTCAGCCTGTCATGTAAAAGTAAAGGTATTTTGAAACATGTTGTATTTTAACCACTTTATTTTTACTCAAGGATAAAAACCTAATTCGTTGTCACTGAGTTGATTCTGATTCCTGGTGATTGCATGTGTTACAGAGTAGAACTGCCCCATAGTGCTATAATCTGTAAAGAAGCAGGCCAGCAGTCTTTTTTCCGTGACACTACTGGGTGGGTCCAAACTGCCACCTTGAGATTAGCAGTCCAGGGACCTTCACTCAACAACAGCATTGCCATTGGTTTTTAGGGTCCTAAACTCACTCATTAGTCAAATACTCCTTAACCATACAAATCTTAGAAATTTAGGAGGCATTATGAAAGGGATTACTAAGAAAATAAGCCTAATCTGGAGTATTACTGACTCTCCAATGAAATATGCCCAAGGTTTCAGATAATTAGCACCCACACATCTGGCAACAACTTATACAGTAAGCTTTACAACAATCATGCTGCTCCGCTATAGCATATTTTTTATTTCTATGGCCTCCTTCTGGATGGTATGGCAAAAGGGAAGCATACATATAGTTAGCAGTAAAGATGGTGCTGGTATAAGCTACTGATAGTTGGTGAGTCTAAGTGAGGGTGTAAAATGATGTTTAATGTTTTATTGTTTTATCTTTTATGTGGGTTTAAAAATGTTTTTTTTTGTTGTTGTTGTTATGTGCTGTTGAGTCAGCCCCGACTCATAGTGACCCCTCCTTGGGTTTCTGAGGCAGTATCACTACCGAAGTAGATTGCCCAACTTTCCTTCTGAGGAGTGGCTGGTCGGTTTGAACTGCCAGCTTTCTGGTTAGCAGTCAAGTGTCTTAGGCACTACGCTACCAGAGCTCCTAAAAATGTTTTGGTTGGATCTAAAAATTATCATTTCTAAGCAGCTCATAAACCAAACAAACCAAACTCACTGCCGTCGAGTTGGATCCGACTCATAGTGACCCCTCCTTGGGTTTCCAAGGAGGTATCACTATGGAAGTAGATTGCCTAGTCTTCCTTCCCAGGAGTGGTTGGTGTTTTTGAACAGCCTGCCTTCTGGTTAGTAGTCAAATGCCTTAGGCACTGTGCTTCGAGAGCTCCAAGACAATTTTAAATAGCATGTGACTTTTCTGGAGGTAAAATATTCTTGAAGTAGGCTACTGCCTGGAATGCCAGTGTATACGTTAAAGGGCTACCAGTGAAAACGTGGGATAGGGAACAAACTATTTTACACTTCTCTTCAAAGACTTCCCTTTATTGAATTGTTAGGTGAAAGACCTCAAGGAGATTGTGACTTTCTTAGTGTTTTAAAGTAGCTTTAGAAGAAAAATACGGAAATCCTGAAGGAATGCCTGGCCCTCCAAATTTTTGGTTGTTGCTAAGTACACCCCTGATTTTCTTCTTAAGCATAAAATAAATGCTTTGGGGTAAAAAAACAAAACAAAGTAACATTCTGCACATTGGCTCAAAATATTCTGTTCATTGTTATTGTTGTTATGTGCCATTGAGTTCACATCACAAATAAATTTGGAAAATATTTTCTGTTTTACAAAGCTTTCATATAGAAATTATGTCATTTAACTATTAAAAATTCCATGTGAGGAAAACAAAGCAAGATTAATTTCTTGATTTACAGGTGAGAAAACTAAGTCTACTAAGGTCAAATGAATTGCTAAAGTTACAAAGCAGGTCAAACAGTAGCAAAAGGACATAATTTAGTTTTCTGTCTCTGGAAAAAACGTAGCCTTCTTTTTCATAGTACCACTCTATGTCCCTACATAGGAGCTCTGGTAGCATAGTGCCAGGTTCAAACCCACCAGCCACTCCTCGGAAGGAAGGTTGGGCAATCCTACTTCTGTAGTGATACTGCCTCAGAAACCGAAGGAGGGGTCGCTATGAGTTGGGGCCGACTGGACGGCGGCACATAACAACAACAACAACATGTCCCTACATACAATGGTTCTTTCTCTGTACAAATTCTCTCTGAGCTGTAGTAGTTAATACCAACATATGCTATTTGGCTCTCTGAATGAACTAATGTTGGAAGGCCTTTTTTCTTTCTTCCTATCTCTAGTATAGTGTTCTAAGCTGTTGCTTTATGTTATTTCTGGAAGGAAGCAGAATATATATATTAGACAAAAAATACTATCAGGACACATTTCAAATTGTTTTAGGTAGAACTTAAATAGCATCTTCGATGCATCTTTTTAAAGCTTTCTTCATTATATTCTTAAAATGTAATTAAATTTTCCCAAGGTGCTTATTAATAGCTAACATCTGCTTAGCTTCTCTCCATATATAGAACACTGTCTGGAAACCTCCATGACTCAAATTTAATTTTACTAATACCACTTACTCAAACCCACCAGCCACTCCTTGGAAGGAAGGTTGGGCAATCCTACTTCTGTAGTGATACTGCCTCGGAAACCCAAGGAGGGGTCGCTATGAATCGGGGCCGACTCGACGGCATATAACAACAACAACAATACCACTTACACCAGCAAACCTTGGCAAGTTCTCTCAATTTGTAAATAGTGTAACTAAAGAAGCTGATAAAAATCTCATTATGCTAAACTATTTCATGACCCAACTTCTTTGGATTTAATTTTGTAATATACTGTGTTAATTAACAGTGTTCATGTGGGTCTTGCTTATAAATTATAAAATCAGAATCTTAGACTGGAAAGAAAATTTGCTCAGTCTTTGCTTCATTCAAGGCTAGTATTTCTTCCTCATACTGAACTGGAATCCGCTTTGCTAAACATCAACTAATTTTTCCAAATGCAGCCTGAGAGGAATTATCATTTTTAATGTTATATAACATTTATTGAATGAGCACTTAGGGCATGCTAGCAACTGTACTGTGCTTTTCAAACATGTTATTTAATCCTATGAATTCTATAACTAAACCAAACTCACTGCCATCAGGTTGATCCCGACTCATAGTGACACCCATTGGCTTTCCAAGGCTCTGATTCAAACACATTCAATCTTTATAGACTGCCTTATCGACCTTTTGGTTAGCAGCCAAATTCCTTAACCACTATGCCACCAGAGCTCCTTATGAATTTTATAGGTGGTACTATTATCATCGCTATTAAAAAACCCCCCCAAAAAACCCAACCAAACCTGAGGTCAGAAAGGCTAAATTAACTTGCCTTAGGTAATATTAGCCAGAAGGTGGTGGAGTTGGGATTTGAATGCAGGTCTAACTCTGAACTCCTAATCACTATACCATACAACCTTTCAAAACAAAGTAGATGGAAGGTTAGGAACAGTTTTCCTATCTCTACCTTAGTCTTCTCTCTCTCTAGCTATGATCTGGCAGCCATATCCTTTAATAACCTTGTCAGTGTTTTCTGGACTTGCTCAATAGCCTTCTTAAATGTGGCCCTGGAATCGAACAGTTTGGCAATCTAGTTCTCTAATCCATGACAACCTTAGTTTAGTCTCTTCTGCTATTACTTAGTAGAGTTTTAGTGCTCTGATCACTACTGTCTCTGGGTTACTGATATACTGCATTTGTTTTACCTCAATTCCAAGGATGCTAGGTGAAAATGAGAGATGGCATTCCATCTCTCATTTAAAGATATCCCATCCCATATCTTTGTTAGATAACAAACTCTGATTCAAACACATTCAAGGGTGAAAGAGTATTTCTTCAGTTACAAAAAGGTTTTTCACTACGAGGCTTTATGAGGTCCACAAAAGGCACAGAGTTGTATGCTTATATGTAACGTAAATATGTGTATTTTTTTTAGGAAGAAGTTTTAAGAAATATTTAATAATAGCTAATATTTATTGAAACTATACACAAAGCACTGCACTAATGCTCTACGCGCATTCACTTTTCATCTTCACACCATTTCTGTGAGGTACACTGTTATTTACCCCATTTCTGGCTCCAGAGTTCATGCTATCAAATACTACTTAAGACTGATGAGATAAAGGTTAAGAATCACTTATCTAAAACCATTTCTCTTATTTGGGCTCTAGTTATGATTTTTGACTCTTAGTTGAAATGATCCTCACTTATTCAGTTGCCCTTGCCCTTTGGAATTTTATCTCTGGAATAAACTCCAAATAACAGTTAAATAAATGGCCTGAATTAGTCATTGGTCTATCACTTAATTATTTAGGCAAACAGCTTAACTCTCTGAGCCTCAGTTGCCTCCTCTATAAAGTTAGAATATTTACTACCCAACTCAAAGGATTGTTTTGAAGATAAAATGAGTTGACACATGTTACCTGTTCAGAACGGGAGGTCTGCTAGCGTACTGCCTAGGACACTTTACTGCTAATCAGAAGGTTGGCAGTTCAAACCCACCAGCCACTCCTCGGAAGGAAGATTGGGCAACCTACTTCCGTAGTGATACTGCGTCGGAAACCCAAGGAGGGGTTGCTATGAGTCAGGTCCAACTTCAAGGCACAGAACAACAACAACAACACATTTCAGAACATTGCCTCAGAATGGTAATCGGCCATAGAAAACATTCAATGTTAATTACCTTTTGAGGATTAGTGAGGATAAGTTTGGTGAACTCATTTTCCTAACTGTATTTTTGAAATGTTATCAATTTCAGGAATCAAAATGAAAATACCTGATTTAATCATTTTAATAAGATACAAAACTAGAAGTGTACCTATACTTGT